ATCATTGAAGCAAGCTGCAGTAGTCAGATCAGCTGTTGCCATCATAGGTGAAAGAACAGCAGGAACCTCTTTACATGGAATAACAGCTTAGATTACTTTGCTCTGAAGAATAGAAGCCAACACAGACAGGGGGAAACCTCTGACCTCCTACTACATCCAGTCATGCCCCCAATATGAGAGCCTGGGACAAACTTACAAGGACAAGGAGGCTTTGAGGAAGGCAACAAACACTTTTTCAGTATCTATGCCATAGTGTCCTTTGTTGTGCAGGCTCTTAGCTCGCTCATGTGTTTCTTCCATGAGCCTGGATAACATAAACCTCATTTTTCCTCAGGCTGTGGCCTTAGAAAGTACTACTGTCAGTGAAACAAGAAACCACTGGGACTCTAATCACCATTGTCATATGACTCAGGTGTGCTCAAGGCACACAACAGGGAAAAGTCTATCACGTCCAATGAAAGCATGAAGAGACCACAAGAGAGAGAGAGAGCGAGAGAGAGAGCGAGAGAGAGAGCGAGAGAGAGAGCGAGAGAGAGAGCGAGAGAGAGAGCGAGAGAGAGAGCGAGAGAGAGAGATGCACTAAGATTTTTGAGTGGTACAGGATGAGATTGTCCTTCCAGCTACACATTGTACATTGCACATCAATCAGTTACACAGTTCAACTGGTATAGACAAGACTTCACAACAAGAAAGATGAACACTGAGGGTTAAACGAACTTATTTAAAAGAAACTAGTAATAAAATCTATAAAAGCAATGTAAGAAATGAAACAATGAGGCCAGAGATAAGAACAAAACAGCAGTAAAAACCAAAACAAAAACAGAATCACTTTATTTTGACAAGAACATCAGTTGAACATAATTTTTTTTTTTTTTTTTTAACAGGAATTTGTCTTGGTACAAGGTGCAGACATACAAGAACAACAGAGAGCATTCAACAATATATACACAAGGACACCATACCCACATGCACTACAACAATAAAAGTTTAGCTGTGCAAAAAGAATGTGCAAAGGTGCAAAAGAAATGTTCAAGAGTGCTTGGATCAAGGTCCTGTCAGTGCAACAGTCTTGAGAATGGGCGTGTGATTCAGAGTTTGTTAATAATTGTTAATAACTGTTTTTGGTATCTTGTGGTTCTTGTTTTTACTGCCCGGAAGTGCTTGCTAACGGGGAGTTTCTGGAAAAGCTGGAGGTAATAGCCATGGTGTGTAGGGTCAGTTGAGCTATTTTGTGCACACTACATTACTCTAGTTAGGTATGAGTGCTGGAAGGATGGTAGGCTACAGCCACTGTTACAGATGATGTTATGACTGACTCCTAACATCATCCATAGCAGACGCAGAAGGTGCCATTGCCAAAGCAGAGAAACCAATGATGTCACACATACAGATTTGTTGGGTTGTCTTTGTAATAAATGAACATTTTACTAGTAAACTGTTCCAATCCAGATAAACATGTTTACCTTTTAAAATATTCTTTCTAACTGATATTTTCTTGCTCCCTGGTCAATGTCCACCACCAATTTTCTGCTTACTGCTAATTCATCATCGCAGGAGAAGCTGGCAACCTCTAGACATTGGAATTACTTAAGGCTTCGCTGCAGTAACTTGGCGCTGCTGGTACTGCTATAATCTTGAGGATTTGTCTGAGGGTGTTGTGTGTAAACTGATAGAGTACCTTGACTCCAGTGAACCGTGAGGGGGCCACTATTGAAACAGTTGGACCTCCAGCAGATAAAGTGCTATATAAATATAGATTGCCTCGTCATTCCATAGCGCCTTAATCCACAGCCATGACCTAGAGAACAACTATTGTCCAAAAACAGGGCCAGCGAAGACCACCTTTGTTTGCCTGAAGAACAGTAACATTCCAGGGAAATATGATATTTTTGTGCTTCCTACATATTTTCAAGTAAAATCTGACCTGCAAAACAGGAGGCCAATGTGCATGTGGCACATTTATATGCCTCTGCGGGGATAGTGATAAGGGAATATTGTTTGAGTAATATCCATCTCTAAAAAATGATGTAAAACATTGCATATTCTGGAAGCAGAACCACATATGTTACAAATCATGTATCTACATTTATACATGTAAAAAAAAAAAACCTTCTAAGAACATTAGAAGCTTTCTACACATTTTTATATTGTAGGTTTTTCAGATTATTTTGTACAGGAGTGATGGAGAAAACTGAACAAATCATTTTTATTCTACATTTATAATGACAGTAAAGGAATTAGTTTCCACTTTCATGATTATCTCTGCACAGTTGTAGCACAAAACAAATTAATACTGGAGCATAGCACTGTCAGTCAAGCATTTTTCATCTAGGACTCATCACTCTTCATGGTGAAATTGCACTGAGAGATTTTGTAGCGATGCATTCCCAGCTAGGCTTGCACGTGTTACTGTAGAAATGTTACTAGCAGAGGAGAGGAGTGTGTGAAGTGAGAGGATTATTAATGTGAAAACCTGTTTAGAGGATTCAGGCCCCTCAATTGAATGCAAAAAGCTGGGCTTGCTTATTATTAAAAAGTGCCTAAGGTGACAAGCGTACCCTTTTTATTCCTACTCTTCAATTCCTGTAATAGCTGTTGATTGTGTGAAACCTTCTCTAGCATATTCTGATTAAAAAAAATAAATAATAATAATAATAATAAAAAACTTGTTTAAAATTATTTCAAAAACATACATAAAGAGAAAAGTTTTGGTCAGTATTACATTGATGCATCATTCAAGAACAAGAAGGAAATCTGACCATTTTCTTTAATTTGAACTTTTTTTTTTAAATATTTGATTTTTATACTGTTTACATGTAACCATTACCTTATTGCTACTCAAAGGCCTTCTGTAAGCACCAGATTTTAATGCTTTCCTCACTTTGTTCTGATCTAAAAGATTTGTTTGTGATATTAAGTATACAGTTAGTTTAAAATGGTAAATCCTTCTGCGTAGCCGCCAGCCAGAGTGCCCATGCTGACCCCTGTCCATCACCAAAAGTGCCTACAATGGCCATGTGAGAATCAGAACTGTACCATGGAGCAACGGAAGAAGGTGACCTGGTCAGATGAGTTATGTTTTCTTTTACATCATGTGGATGGCTGGGTGTGTGTGTGTGTCTGTGTGTGTGTCACTTACCTGGGGAACAGATGGCACCAGGATCCACTATCGGAAGGAGGCAAATCAGCAGAGGCAGTGTGATGCTCTTGGCAATGTTCTGCTGGGAAACCTTGGGTCCTGGCATTCATATGGATGTTACTTTGACACGTACCACCTACCTAAACATTGTTGCAGACCAAGTACACCCCTTCATGCAGGATAATTTGCCCTGCCACACTGCAAAAATTCTTCAGGAATGGTTTGAGGAACGTGACAAAGAGGTGTTAACTTGGCCTGCTGCTAATGTCATGGTCCCAGATAACACAGCACACATTCAGAGGTCTTGTGGAGTCCATGCCTTGATAGGTCACAGCTGTTTTGGCAGCACAAGGGGGACCTACACAATATTAGGCAGGTGGTTTTAATGTTATGGCTGATCGGTGTATATCAACATTTTTACTGCAGCAGATGATTACTGCCCCAGACCTGTCTATCACATGTAATGTGAACGAGGTTGTCCCATACGTTTCAACCAGCTGAGCCTTCAGTTACTAAAAGATTTTTTTATGTTGACAGGTCTAATTGGTTAAATCCAGGGGCTCATGGAACTTTACGATGTTTTCTGAATTAGATTTCTACAGGGTTCTATCCCCTGCAGAGAAACAGCATGAAACACAAACAGCAGACACCCACTTAAGCCTTACTATGTACTATACTAGTTTTGACAAAGCTTAGAGAGGTGATTAAAGGCTGTTCAATTAAAATTCTTCAGACTATGTATTTATTTGTTTTTACTTTTATTTTAGGTCTCACCATGTCTCACTCCTAGATTAAAAAAAAAAAAAAAGCATGATCTCATTTCATAGTCAAGTTCAGTCAGTGGACAGAATTCATTAGCCATAATTACACATTTACTTGATCAGGAGTTTTGGGAGAGAGGAAAGGAAGCTTATGAGAAGTCAGATTAAAAGGAGCACCATGAAATGAGTGAGACTGATTATCAAGCACTGCCAGACTGTATTTGGTGCTGGTATCCCTCTGATCGCTATCTCGTTAGTGCTTTATTCATCAAACATTGGCTAATGCCTATCACAGGTCTGAGCTAATCCACACTCTGCAGTCAGGCCAGCACTGAGGAAATGGCTTAGTGGGGAAAAAGTATGGGGTAAATGAATTCGCACACCTTCTGTAACACAGGCTCTCATATAATCCACTTATTGTAAATGTGGTAAATGATTAAGCTCTCCTGGTCAGCTGCATAATTTATCAACGCCCATGCATTATTAACCATGTTTAATGTAGGTAGTTTATGTGTTTGAAGATCTGCCAATTTCAGTTGTCCTATATACTGATAGTACTGATAGGAATATAAAAAGAAAGCTATAGATGCAGTTGTTCACACTCTTTAGCCTTCTTACAATTATCACTGCAGCTATTCACACAGAGCAAATGAATGTATTGTTTAACTTAATCATCACTGAGGTGACTACCATTTGAGCTGAAACCAAACTGAAATGCCATCAGTCGCAGAAGAGACATTTCATCTCCATGCATTTAATAATATATGCTGTACTTTTTTTCCCCCCGTAATTGTTGAGAATGAACAAACTGATATATCAAGGTATAACGCTTCAAATGTTAGAAAAACGGAGACAGTAAACCTCCTCATATTTTCTATTTAGTATTTGTTTGTTTATTATTACTGTTATTCCTTTTTATTATTATTTTTGATACTGTATGATACTGCTGGGAGGGGCTAAAAATGACCTAGTAACAGTCCTATGACCTAGTCACAGTTTTTAAGTGAATTGTGTTGTAATTACAGCTGGCCATTCTCATTGTTTTTATTTTTAGTGTTATAGTTTTCTATGATAAAATTATACTTGAGCCATATTCTAGATCCCTGGAGGACTAGTGGTTAGGCCTCAGCGCTCTCACCACTGTGGCTAGAGTTCAATTCCCGGCCAGGGAACCAACCCCAGCCACTGGGGTTGCACATGACAGTGCACTCCCACTGCTTGTCCCCATCCTGGATAAAATTGGGGAGGGTTGTGTCAGGAAGGGCATCCGGTGTAAAAACTGTGCCAAATCAATTATATGCGGACCAATGATCCGCTGTGGCGACCCCTAATGGGAGCAGCTGAAAAAAGAACAGCAGCATACTTGAGCCATATTCTCTGTCATTCTGTTTATATTTATCACTGTCATTTTGCCTGTTTTGTCTTTATGTCATTGGAATTCTGTATTTTTTTTTGTTTGTGTGTGATTGATTGTTTGTTTTTAATTTGACTGATTGTTTCAGCTTTAAAAAAGCAGCTTTAAATGTAAAATTGCTTGCAGTTTTATCCAAGTCTCCATGTTATCCAAGTCTCCATCAAAGAAAAATGATTTCTAATCTAATCATGTGTCATTATGAAAATGTCAGTGTGCTGCACTGCACTCATTCCATTCTAAGAGGAATGAGAGGAGCTGAGTGGATAATGCAGCCGCATGCTTACCCACTTTTCTTGATAATGCATTCATATTAACCCCACCCCTTTTTACAGATTACTCTGCAGGTGTAAATAGGTGGTAGATGCAGGTGGTAAATATAAAGCAATATATGGAATATAAGGCAGTGATTCCAATGGCTCATTTTTGCATATGCGACAGACTGACTGTCCATAAAACATCTCTCCTGATGCTACAAAACATATCATACATATAATAAGTGAAGCTATACATGTGCATTTTCCGCTAGTCTCTACATAGCAAGCACAGTGGACAACGGAGCAGAATGTAAAGGGAAAGACTATCTGGTTGCCTGCATCTGTGTACAATTTAACTGAACTTTGGAGAGTGACATTCTGTTCTGTGTGTCTATTGTGCCGTGCTGTTTTCACTTGGTGAACAGAAATAGCAACAACTATTTAATTCTGATCATGAAATAAGAAATGCCCCTCTTGCAGTTTTCACTTGTTTTCATTTGCCTTCACTGTCATGCCTACAAGAATTCACGGTATTCAATTTTAGCATTGTCAGTTATAAAAATAAAAAATACATGCATTCTTTCATAGTGAAAACTGGATATTGCTGGATATTGAAATCCCACGGTCAGCACAGAAAGAAAGATTAGCAAGGCTTAAATCTGTTTTGCTGCAGGGATGTGTGTCATTTCAAGTTAATTTATGATGTAAATGTAGCACTCAATGTTCCGAGGTTTGGCAAACATTTAATATAGGGGACAGAAACTCAAGGATAATAGTTGGATCAAGAATGTAGCTTTCCCATCATGCACTGAGGCCACTGGGCCATTTCATAGCATGTTGAACACATAGAGTACACAAGCACTCACAACCGATTATGCCGAGTCTGTGCAGACAGCACAGGAAGCTCTGATGCTATCCAGAGCTTCCTGAGCAGATGTGATGGAACAGTGATGTCTGATGACCTGGCATACATAACTTTGAGAATCATGATTGACTTACCAAAAAAAAGAGGGGAATCCTTGGGGTTGGAGAATGTATAGTTTCCATGACTACTGGTGATTTAAAGAGGAATCTTGGAGCTCAGTTACAATTGGCTAATTAGGGTAAAGGTACTTGAGAGGGAAGGAAGTGTCTAAACGGAAGGCAGCTGGGCTGAAGATGCCTTTTTTTATCCTTCTAATTTGTGTAATTACACCTCCTGTAAAGATGTAGTGTTTGTCACAATTATGCTTTTTTCCCTACATCTAACTTTGCTGCACAGTGCATGTACTCAGTGTTCAATTTTATGCAATTTTGCCTCCCGTCCTTCAGAACTCTGTTATTTGGTATGCTAAATAGATGAGGACACAGGATAAAGACTGTGCAGTTGTGCATCCTAAGAGCACGTTTTGAACAGTAATTTAATCCTAAGATCCAACCAAAAAAGATTTTTGCATTTTCTTTTTCGAATACCAAAGGATTTTTGTATAATTTAAGTAACTACCAATTATGGATTTATTAATATACTGAAAGTGATGAAAGACAACTCACATTTATTATTAGATTCAACAAATAGCAATAGATTGTTTAAGTAAAAGCTTATATAAGTCGTAGTATCACTGCTTCTTTTTTTCCTTTTTTCCACATTTCTTAAGGGCACATGCTATCTTGGATTATAACAGAATGCCTTTACATTGTCCATCTGAATAACCTCAATACATCATAGCACCATTGTTAGACGAGAACTCTTACTGAGACCAGTGATTCATTTTCTCCGTCAGGTGTCATGTAGAATAACTATAGCCTCAAAGCAAAGACCCCATTTCTTGTGAAGGGCAGGCATATTGGCAGAGATGATGCCACGGCATCTCTACCTACCAGGGGAAATGGAACAAGTCTTCTCAATTATCTTATTCAGTTTCCATGCAGATCAGTCACATCAGCACGTTGCTGCTCTATCCTTAAAGCTGGTGAAAAACTTTATTAATGCCACCACCTCTGCTCAGGGCCCTTTTTGAACATTTATTTTATTTTATTCATATCTAGTTAATTTCAATATTTATTTTACTGTCTGCCAGTGACACAAAATAGTAGCAGTAGTACAGAAACATTTTGGAAAACAGCCGATGAGGGTTAAACAAGTTCATGGCATCCACACAATTTTACATTTCTGAATCCTATTAAATCAGTTCTGGCTTTGAGAATAAGATTATTCTGTGGTATTTTTTTTTTTTTTTACAGCAAATAAACTTACTATGGAATTCAGGCATGTAATTATATACATATAAACTTACCGTCCACTTTAATAAAACTGATTAGAACCCAACTTTGCTATAAGAACAGCCTCAAGTCTTCATGGCATGGATTCCACAAGGCTCTGGAAACATCGCTTTGAGATTCTGGGCTATGTTGACATGATTGCATCATAATTGTTGCAGATTTGTCACATTCATGCTGTGACTCTCCTGTTCTACCACATCCTAAAGGTGCTCTACTGGATTCATGTCTGGTGACTGGGGAAGCTGAAGCATACTGAACTCATTGTCATGTACACGGAGCCAGTTTGAGACGACTTGTGCTTTGTGACATGGTGCATTATCATGCTGGATGTAGCCGTTATAAGACTGGTAAATTGTGTCCATAAAGGGATTGATACTCAGATAGGCTGTGGCATTCAAACGATGCTCGACTAGTTTTAAGAAGCCCAGTGTGTGCCAAGAAAACATTTCCTACACAATTACACCATTGCCATCATCAGACCGAACTGTTCACACAATGGGTCCATGGGGATTCAGGCTGTTGATGCCAAATTCTGACCCTACTATCTGCATGTTGCAGCAAAGATCGAGGGTCACCAGATCAGGTTTACGTTTTTCCAATCTTTAGCCCTCCAGTTTTGGTGAGCCTGTGCCCACTGTAGCCTCTGATTAATGCTTGTGGCTGACAAGAATGGAACCCGAAGTAGTCTTCTGTTGTAGCTCATCCACCTCAATGATCAATGTGTTGTGCATTCTATAAAGAGTTGTTATTTGAGTTACTATAGCCTTTCTGTAAGCTCCAACCAGTCTGACCATTCTCCCCAATACTATAATCATAATAATCATAATAACATCACATAATCATCCTGTCTGGATGATGTGAACATTAACTGAAGCTCTTGACCTCCAACCGCATGATTTTTTTTTTTTGCACTAAATAATAATAAAGTAACCAGTCAGTGGTATTGGTTGCAATTTCATATTTAATTCATTGTAACTACATGTAAATTATGTGTCGATACATTATACTTATAGACTGGTATTAGTTTGGTATTCATTACCTCATTAGGCATAAGCAACAAAGCAGAGCACGCAGGACAACTGAATAGTCAAGCAAACATCTAACCTTCAGGTACATGGCTGAAAGATAGAAGAACGAAAACTATTTCTCTCATTAAACTCAAGAGAATTCTGCAGTATATTTTGAGGCAAAGAATCAACTTTGTACCAGCTATATTATTAATTTGTTGTGTTCAAACACAAATTAAGACCTCCTCCAGGGCAGAATCTTCAAACTGTCATCATTGCATGTATTGCCTAGTAGTGTGAGATCAAGAATTTGCAGGGGAAAGTCCTTTAAAGTATAAGCAGTGATGTTAATTAGCAGCAGCTCTTGAACATCTATAATTGCCTCAACACTTGGGCCTACATGTCAAATAATCTCATTCAATTAACCTAGATCAACTTGATTTTGATGAGGTTAGATGAAAAATATCCATGGGGCACAAAGGGCATAATAACTACATTCTACATACTTAAGTGTTATGTTTATGGAAATTGTCGAACCTGTCATTCTTCATTTGTTTTGGTCGTAAAAATTCACTGGATAAAACAGCAATTGTCCATGATAGAACCCGGCCTAAGAAATTCAGAGTTTATCTAGTGATCACAGATGATTATTATTGTTCCCTCTAGTTATCTTTGCCAACAGCCACATTTGCCTCTCGAGTTTAAAGAAGTCAGATAGTGTGTTTAAAGGTCTGCAAGGCAAATAACAGGAATTAAAAGTGAGACAGTATTTTGTAAATGCAAAAAGCATACCATTTGCCAGGCTATTTCTGCGGTTGCTTCTGGAATGCAATCTGCATGTCTCAACAAACAAACAAACAGACAAACAAACAAATAAATAAATCTTTATTTTTAAGATGACTGGGTCTTAGAACTGTCAATTGTAATGTCAACTGGAAACTGAATGGACAATTTCTCTGGCTTTATGTTCTATAAACAGATGGACAGAAATAGTAATGGACATAATACTTTACTGATTTGAATCTTAAGGTTATTTAAAAGACTTAAAGAATGACTGTGTGAGAGTTTTGCTTCATTTGATTTACCATATGGAGTAGCCATCTGGAAAGAATTAGTATTCATTAATTTATACACTTTCCATTACCACCATTCATTATTTAATGCTGTCATGTTGTCTAACCTAAATTAACCTAACCTAACCTAGCCTAACCTATTTTTATATTATATTATAACTAAGA